AATTTTAGTTGAGAGGAATTATTTTTATTGTATTGTTTAACAAAACATATGTAGTGCTGTGAAGTTACTCAGAGGTTACTCTAAATTGTACTCACAGCATGGAAGAACAAGGGTAGAGAGCTGATCACTACTTCCATGTCTAACCTTAAGCTTTATTATTCCTAATGGTATATGTGCAGAAGAATGAACAGGAAAGAAGCATGAAAAATCTTGCATTATTTTAAAATCATACTGGGGATTCAGAAACTGCTGAAATATTTTCCCATAAGTAATAGCAGACTGGAAAAATCCCCGGTTTTACAGTGTCAGAACACAGCAGTTGTGAATGCTAATGAGAAACTACCTCTAAATCAAGGAGCTGTCAGGATTTTCCCATTATGGTTTTTCTAAGGCTGAAGTCAAGATAGAATGCTACAGTTATTACTGTGATGTAAAAGACCAGTACTGCATGACACGTGGTGCCAGCTGATGGGCTTGCTTGCAGTCGTAGACTTTTCACAGAGGACTCCAGATGTGCAGCTTGGTACAAAGTTTTAAAAAAATGAATGGTAAGGATGAGGAAAAACTCAATCAGCAAGTATTTTAGCCTTTTCCCCTTGTTACTTTGTTTAAAGACTCTCTTTAAATAAAAAAAAAAATGCAAACCCTACAGTTGCTACAAAAAAGAAAGAAAATACCATTTTTTTTTAATTTAGAAATGACAGGAGCTTGTTTCTTTTTATTTTTTAAATACTTTGATCGTATCTGATGGTCCTGATGACTCCAGTTGAGTTTAACTGATCAGCAGTTGCTTCAAAGCAGCTAGTGACAGGTTCAGTCTGTCACTTAGATGTGATTTGTTTGTACTATTCATCCAGAAATTCTTGGGTTTATGGCAGTTCCAGAGCAAAATAAACCTACACTGGCAGCACATTTTTAGTCTAGATATCTACAGCTACACGTATCTTTTACGAATTCAAAAAAACATAACTTAACTAGTGTTGTTATTCTGGCAATTATTTCTAGAGGTCAGATTATAAATGCTAGTACGGCTATTGCCTGAGTGATTATGCTGCAGCATATGGTTCATGTCAATATGTTTCTAAAAAATAAAATGAGCATAAAGTCCAGTTTGCAGTTGACTCTACATGAAGTAATTGCAAGTCCACTGGAAATTATGTTTCAGTAGCTGCATTTATCTAGCAGTCATAACTACTTGGTTAAATATTTGAGCTGGTAATACAGTTTTAAAAGACGCTATTTTTGTTTAGATACATTTACTTAAATCAGCTGGTTTACATGTACCTGCCTATTATAGCAAGCACACAGTGGCTGTATCTGTCTACAAATTGAAGTTCAGCTCCGAAACTGAAAGTGAGGAACATTGGCTTTTTCTGCTTTACTAGCTTTATCTTTAATCACACTTACAAAGAGTACTTAATGGGTTGTGAGATCCAGTAATTGAGGTGGTAAGGTTAATGGGGCATCTTTTTATGCTACACATTTTTGTTGCAAATAATTTTATACAGTAAATGCATGAGATCTTTGCCATAGGAAAGGGAGCCAAGAGTTTGAGTAGCTAAAGAACGTGGGTCCAGCTAATGGCTAGATCCAAAAATAAAGTCGAAGAACAATGAGAGCAGCTGCCTTTAGAGAATGACACAATTGTAAGGTACAACCAGTATCTGAAATGTGGTCAGGACTGATTTTTGTCTAGCAATGGCAGATCTGAGAGAGTGAAAATAACAATGGTTAAAACCTGCACTTGCGATTATCTAAATTCATCCTGTCAAAGACAGGAGATACTAATCTCCATTCAGTGTCTTCTGTGTGTGTGACACTACCTGCCATGCCCTGATCTGTTGATCACCTCTCTGGCCATGGAGATGCTGAGCATCCCCCCCACTTTCCTGCCTTAATACATTACAGAGACTCTTTTTATACCAAATAAGAACTGTGGCATAGACCATTTCCTGTCAGGGTAATTTCCAAGATAGATTTTTTGGCTAAGCAGTCCGTTTGGTAAAGGCATAAGGTTATTTCCTCATTCAAACTGTCACCATCCTTCTGAATTTATGATACAAGTACTGCTCACAAGCTTGGGTACCTACTCGGACCCTGGCTGTGTACTTTGGCAACCATCTGTCTCTCTCAGACAACCTTTTCAATGGTGGTGCAGTATGGAGGAGTTCCCGTGGCCATGGCTATTCTTGCAATACAGCAAACGGGGGACTGTGAGAAAGGCGCATGTAATCCGTAGGACACGCAACGCTCTGTATTGTTTCTTCTATGGAATTTCTGCCGGCTAGAGGGGCAGTAGTCATCCTACTCACCACACCCAGGCAAAGGCTGTGCTTCCCTCCCTGCCACCAGTACTGATTTTCTGCTTACTGGTCCAGCAAAGCACTTGACTTAAGCCCCAAATTTAATCACTGTGCACTATGATGTTTAGAGAATTGAAGAAACTGTGCTGCTTGAAAAGGAAGAGGTACTGTGCTTTTGTACAGTACTGATGGTCAATAAAATGTAATCTAGCTAAAACAGAAGTACTGGTTATCAATAAAGTACAATTTAGCTAAAACAAAAGGCATGTTTCTGACAGACAGCTTCCACAGAAGTAGAGGCAGTAGAAGTGATCCAGAAAATACTGATGTTATTAAAACTGCAAGTTTAATTTTTTTTAATATCCAAACTCTGGTGTTCAAACTTTCAAACAGAATGGCAGCATGAGCAGCAGGCATTTGTAGCGTTGCTACCTGCTGAAAGCTGCCCTAAAGATCATTAGTTAAACGTGTTTCTGCCACTGTGCTGCTACCAAACATGCACTCCTACACACACTGGAATCCATGTGCCAAACCTGGGGTGAAAAAGGTTGCCACAGAAACCCTCCTGTGCCTGTTGAGTACTTTTCTTTGTCATTTGTACAGAGAATAGACAGAAATGTGTCTTTTAACAGCCAGCTCATCCATCCCCAGGATCTAAGCAATTCCAGGGGATGTGATGAAACTAATTTTGAAAAATAAAGATGGAACTAAATGTAGCATGTAATCATTTAGATTGAGACAAGGAAAAATGGTCCTGTTCAATGAAATGTACAGGAAGCATTTAGGAGACCAGAATAAAACTTTCAGGATTGTTAAACAAAGAGAGAAATAAAACCGACGTGAATTCTCTCATTTTTCATTAGAATTTTGAATTTCCAGCAAACTTTGAGGTGTTCATTTTGTACTTTACCAAAGTGCCATATACAGAGCTAGAGAAATAACAGGAGGTTTGGGTTTTGCCGTAACATGCAGAGTTAGCAAAAATCCACAAGTGTGCAGTGTACATAGAGAAAAACCATTCACGTGGTCTTACTTAAAGCTGCTTAACAGCTTAATATGATAAAAAGTCCTCAACACAATTTAAGAACCTAAACCACTTAAACTGTTCAAAGCAGCTTGTGAGTTTGAAGAGTTTTGGTGGGGGTGGGAGAGGCATTGCCGCCGAGCTGCAGCTCTGGGGACAGAGCTGGCTCGCTCACATACAGAGTGTCCCAGCAAAGGGGCCCTTCTGGTCCCAAGCTTGGGAGGCCTGGAGGTGATGTGATGGAAACAATGGGAGAGTTTTCTACATATTTTTGTATAGTGTTGTGTGTATGCCTGGGTTGCTTTGATTTAAACAGAGTTGCAGAAAATCTTACAGGGATGTGAGATGTAAGCAGTGGCATACCCCCTGTTGAAATAGAGAAGAGGGTTGCAGAAAAAAATGTTGTCTGATGAGTCTTCAGCTGTGGAAAACTACTGCAGCTCACAGGCCAAGGGAAGGCTCCTCAAGAGCATTGTGAAGAAATCTTCTGCAAGAGCTGCAAGGCAAAATGTTTTGCTTTTGTGGCTCCAGGAGCTGGAGGCAGGTGGGAGGTAGCATGAGTGGGCCTTTCAGATGTTTTGAGAAGGATTTTTTTTTTTTCTGAAAGATTGGTTTTGGGGAAAAAGAAATGAGGGTGAGTGGAGGGAGGAGGGTTGCTCTAGTTTGACTAGTGTCAACTAGCATTAATTGATTGGTCATTCCAAAAGCATGTTGTTACTATGTATTCACAAAACATAAAAGAAACTATTAATTATGAGATCCAGTTTGGTTCCTGCTGCCGCATGTGGTAGTCAATGGATGAATATGTGTTTCTGTGTGTGTATGCTCAGATGAAAACAATGGTGGCACTGCAGGGAAGCGATACTTGAGGACAATGGAAGGAGGCACCAGGAATGGGAATGAACGTCTGAAGGTGGAAAACAGCTAGGATGGTTGTTCTGATGGTAGTGATTCCACCTTAAATGTTTTGAAACTTGGCCTGGTTTTCATTGATGCAGGCAGTGATTTACACTGTAAAGGCTGTAAAACAGGAGTGAATTACATTCTGTACAATTTGAAAATAAATGGTACATTCACAGCCACTCATGGTGAGGCCCATTTACACTTCCAGAGTGGTACAATGAGTAAATGAAAGTTAGGCCTGTGTGTGAATGAAAAATGCCTGTTTTACCAGAGGCTGCGAAAAAGAGAGATTTCATGGAAATTGGATTTTATTTGTTTGTTTAAAACACCGTATTGATTTGGAGTCAGATTGGGTATTGTTGTAACTGCAAACTAATTCCACTGAATTCTGCAAGGTATTTCTAGTGATGCTGATGGGGCTGGAAGTTTATATTCATAATCTGAATTTTTCTTGTGCTCAAGTAAGTCTTTATTACACTACAGCCTTGTGCAAATTTGACATTGTAATATTTAATATGAATGTTATCTTTCAAAAACAAAATCTTTACTGAGGTGAAAAAGAGCTCAGGTATAGTTAAATTCATATGATCTTGATACAATTAAATTGCTCTTTGGTTTTCTTTTATGACGAAGAAAGCGATATGCAAATATGACTTGATGAGGGTAAGTGCTCTCTGACTAATGACAGACATGGAAAGAAACCATTTAATGAATGAAATATTGGTATTGTACTACATAATACTAATATCTCAATACCACTTGAATTTCAGAACATTTCAGGATCTGTCCAAACAAATGGATATATCTTACGGTACGGTCAGGGATTCAGCAGTGTACGAATACTTTAAAGCAAAAGGAACAAACCCTTTGGAGCAGGATAACACATTTGCTGAACTGTGGAGGACTATCAGTAAGAATAATGGGGCAGACAATTGTGTATCAAACCCTTCTGAAGGCATTAGGAAGGTAAGACTGGATCACAAGGGTTTTCATTTAATTTTTGTGCGGCATCAATGTTGTTTGCATGGAGTTAATAATGTTACATCACAGTAAAGCAATTACATAGTCATAAAAAAAATCCTTATCCAAAGTTCCTTTTAGTAACTCGATGGCAGATAAGAATCACATTTTGGGGTCATGGTTTTGAATTTAAGTACCTTACTTCTGCCTAAGTCTTCAGTATATAAGTCCTTCTTTGGATCTGGCCATACAGTTTCTAAGTTTCTTGGGAGCTCCAGTAGTACCATTTTGAATGTCATTCTGTACTTTATCCAGGTACTGGTTCTTGTCCTTTGCTCATTTGAGTGGGCTTTTTTCTGAGTTGATGGATTGAACTTATTGGAAACATGAGTAAGAATCAAGGGATTCACTGAATGTATGCTCATTACTCTTAAAACAGAAATTAATGCAACATTTTTGGTGAAACTGAGCATTGATGTAGGATTTAAGGACTGATACAGAGTGGCTTTGGAGCCTGCATCCTTCTGCCGAGTCCTGTGATAAACCGCCCTGGTTCACATCATGCAAATAAACACGTCCACACTTTCGCACTCCTAGTCTGCCTCTATTCTCTGCTTCCCACCTCGTAGCTCAGCAAAACCAGATAGTAAATAACAGCAAACCACATGTTATGGCAGAAGGGTTGCAGACATGGTGAAAGTTTAATGTGTTGCTCCTTTAGTGAAACGTGTCCCCTTTATTTGTCAATTTTTTTTTTTTTTGCAAAACAAGCTAACAGCTTTTATTAACGTAGTGATTGTTTGATCAAAGTTATGCTGTTCTCAGTGAAATGCTGATTCGGAGTAAGTATATTATTAGTTCTTTATGCTTTTGTAAGTGAGAAATAATAAAATACTTTGGGCTTGGGTTTCTTTTTTTTTCTTTGCAAACTCCTCTGAACAGTCAGAGGGAAAGCAGCTACAATTTACCGTGTTTTACAGTGCCATAACTGGGTTGAACACAGTAACACAGGCCATCCCATTTCCCATATCAAAGTCCTTTAACATAAGATTCCCAACTCTTTGTGTGACTTTTGGACAAAATCCTTATACAAACACTCTTGCCTCTCCCAACAGAGAAGTATTTAGTCAGTAGTTTTGGTTCACCCTGGCTTTTCTCCCCTCTCCTAGCTGAGCTTTCCTAAAGCCCTGTGCCCTTGGCTCAAGCAGACTTTCTTTCTTGGTACATGGCAGAGTTCCGGCAAGAGAAAATCTGCAGCGTGCTGATCTTTTTTTTTTAATCTGCTCAACACTTTATGAAAATGAGGACTCTATTTTGAGAGGCTTTGTTAGCATTTAAAGGAGGTAGAAATAGAGACATGAAGTAAGTACTTTTCTATGTACCCTGGCATTAAAACCAATAATAAAACAGTTTACCTTAGAAAATGCACAGTATTTTACTTTTTTTTTTCTTTTTTACCAGTCTTATGTCAGTGGATGCTCTTTAGCCATGAGACTGTAAATACTTTTATTCTGTAAGCCTACTGTGTGCTGCCATTGATGACAGCTAGATTTGCCTAAGTCAGAAATGTAACTGTAGCTTGGCAGGCTGTTTGGAATACCAGTTATGTTGTCTGTATGGAGCTGGCAGCTCCATCCTATCTATGTGATAATAACTTTTAAGTTTGATTTCAATATTGTAGGCTGATTTTTATATAACTTGATCAGCTCATTCAATTAACATCAACAATAACCAAATTTACTTCAGTCTCCAAAGCTGACCAAGGCTGCTATTTGATAAGACACGTACATAAATTTGGCTTAATATTTAATAACATTGTCAACTAAACTATTCTGTTTAGAGTTTAAATGTGGCTCTTCCTAGCTCATTGAACTCTTTGAATAAACAGACAAGTTTTCAAAGTCAAGTATTACAGCTAAAAATTCTGTTTTTCTAAAGGAGAATTGATCTCAGCCAAGGAGATGGGACTTTCCATCTGTAAACATGTACTGCTGCATGAAAGAGATGTAAATGTGCCCTAAAAATATATTTTATAGGAAATGGGAAATCTAAATCTCTCTAGCATAAAAAGATCCCTACACATTTTTCTGAATGAGGATTTGTCCGACACAATCCAAGAAAAATCACTACTACCCTTTCTCTGCTCCTTCCTCTTTCCATTTTCTTCAGACACCATCACAGTTCAGCCGCAGTTACAAACAGAGCAATGCCACTTCAATGCAGAACAGGGGAGTGCTGCTTATTTATGGTACAGGCAGGTATTTCAGATGTTTGTCTCTATTCCATTTACCTCTTTCCATTTCACAGAGCTTTTTCTACCCGAGCTTTTTCTACTCCCTTTGACTACCTAAAATCAAAAGGATAATAGAGCAAGAAAGTCCTGAAAGCTTTTGTGGCATTTGGTTGCCATGGCAGAGGTCTCTTTTCTGACACAGCACAGTCCCTGTAGCCGCAGTGGCCATCTCCCATTGTTGAGGCACAGCTTTTGCAACACTGGTGGGGCCACGGAAAGGGCGTTAATGCACTGCAAAGTCACGTAAGCGACAGAAGGATGTTTCAGAGCTGGGGGGCAACTTGCTTTTGTCATACTCCCAAGGCAATGAAAGTGGTCATTGCAGACAGAAGATGTCCTCTTATCCATAAATACCTCTGCACAGCATAAGTGAAGGTTACCAGACAAATCACCAGTCCATACAAAATGAGTTTTCTGGTACTAGAACAGGTGAGGATTGACTAACGCTGTCATATGGAAAGTTTCTTTCTGGCTTGAGCTACAGCCAGGATCCCCAAGGAGCTCACAGTGGGCAGCTCCTGCCGTTTTATCCCAGGCAGACATTGGTACTGGAATTGCACACATTTTTAAGACATTGGTAAATCTCAGCAAACTGTTTGCATAATACTCGGTGGCAATCAGTTCTTCAGTGTAGTTATTAGTTACCACAGTGTATGTAATAGCCTGTCGCTTTTTTCATTGCGGGCAGACATTTTTGCTTTGAACGAATGAAGTAGTATGATCCCTAGGCATTCCCATATATCTGTCTTTTATACATATACAGACGAGAATTAAACTGTTATGGTTGTATTTTTTAAAAGCCTTGCTTTGATGTAGACTGTTTTTCCCCTGTCCAATCAATCTGGTGCCAAGATTATGCTGAATCGTTTCATTTCTTCCTGTGTATCACTTTTGGTGAAGTGATCAAACCCAAGTACAGTACAAAATGTGAATGTGTTATTGATTTAGGTAATGGCACAGTAATAGTTTATTCCTTCTCTTTTTTGGTTCCTTCAGAAAATTTATATCCTGTAACACTAAACATTAAATCTGAGTGTTTCTTGTTGAATAGTCACCTCTGTTCATTTTTATTTTGAGATTAAAAGTAATTTAGAAGTTCAATGAATAGGATTTTTTTAAAACTATGTTTTCCAATAATTTATTGTCCACAATGAATTTTATATTGTGAAATGTGGTTGCTCATCCATATGTTTTCATGGGTCCTCATAAATTTCTCCATTTCTTGACCCATCAGCCTTTGGAGTGAAAGTAAATGATTCCTTAAATCCTGAATATATTACATCCTTTGGTTGCTCCATAATTATATTAATCTTTAAATCATTTGAACAGGATTAAATGGCATATTTTCTTTTTTATAAGAACTGTATTGCTTTTCTTAAAGCACTCTTTTATAGATAATAAATGTTACCCAAGCATGTTTTTGAACTATTCCACTAATGCCAATGTAAAGGTCGCTTTTTGATATTTCTGTGGCACCAGCCATATAATGGGATCAGCTACAGAGACACTCTGTTCTGCCAGTAAATTAATGATGAATGTTGCATTATTCTTGCACATTTGACTTTAGTATGGTAACTTCTTCATAAGTTTCAGACAAATCACAGGCATATCAGTGATTAATCTGAAATTCATCTTTTTTCAAGTAATTATTTCTTACCATGCCTTCTTTGAAAAACCATTGTTTTACCGTCAGTAAGTCAGGATCCTTTGAACAATATTCTTCCATCTCCCTCCATGTTGCAGAGTGACATTATGAGGTTGCTTCCTGCTTTTCTGAAGTATTACTATTCTCTTTGTGGTCCTTCTTGTATCTCGGAGGCAATCTTCCTTGGCTTTTAAATTTTTTATGATGGTGAAGAAAAAATATTTTTAAAGTAAGCTTTGCCCAGGGTGGTGGTTTTTTTTTTATTAAATCTGTTTTCTTAAACCTCTTCAGCCAAAGATAAATCTAGTGTCTTTGGTGTAAACCGCCATAGTAGTTCCACCTGAGTGAAATAGATGAGTACTGCTTTAGTTGAATTTCTGGTTTTGAAAGTTTAACCGAGCTATTTGGTTTTGTTCTGCAATACGCCTGCATACTGAAAGTTGCAGTAAGGCCATAGCAAAGGAGCAAAGTATGAAAGCCAATTAAAAGTCTAAAGTCTACATTTTAGCTTATTATTCTGTGTTTCATTTCCGTCATACGTTATTCAAGCCGTCTTACCTGTTCTTAGTTGGTATTTGCCATATTCCCCTTTACCATCTCTCTCTATTATCTTTGCAATGATGTCTGATCACTAGAACCTTTTTATTCTATTTTGGGCCCTAAAAACATACAATGCAGGCTTTAGGTGGCTGAGCTGTGAATGCAAGAGCCTGAGGATATGGATCTGTGCTGTGTTGTGATCAGGACTTGGTTGCATGGGTAGGTACATCTGCATCATATGCAACTAGGGAGCCATGGTACGGTTCCTGCTCATACATCCCACAGGTCAGTGCCAGGTGTTTCCTGCAGTTCTTAATCCTCCTACCTCCAGTACCCCTCTGGCCTGGAAGCTAAGGCGCGTGCACATGTGCACGCGTGCGTTTGTTCATGTGCCAAAAAGTAAAAGTTTAAGCTACTTTTAAAAAGTTTTGTTTTGATTTTTAGCTGAAAATAACTATTGATTTGATTTTGTTTGGCTTTTACTGCTTGCCTAGTGAAGGTATTAAAAAGTAAATGTATCTGATCTTTAAATTGAACAAATGACACTGCTTAGCTGTCACAACAGATCTGACAGGGATTTGAAGGCTGCTGAATTTAGACAGCAACAAAACATTTGCTCATAAGGAAGCTTTCCATGCAATGAACACACTGCTAATACCAGGTCTCCGCTCTTCAGAGAAGAAAATTACACAAGTGGAACAAGTTTTGGAAGACAGAATTTTTCCCTTAGAACAAAGTGATCTTTGGATATTCTGTTTTTGGCAGTCAGAGGGGGGAAACAGTCTTACATCCATTATTTCTGGGAGTTGAGAAGTATGCAGAACTAAGAGTTTAAAACAGATTCATGTTTATGTTAAAATGATCAAGCTGTCAGAGAAATAATGCTTTACAGATGTGATGACACTGGATAGAATGATTTATGTCATAAAAAAAATAAAATTGATATAAAGACACCCGGTAGGCTTTGTTTATTAATGCTGGCAGTTGCAGGGCATAATTTAGGATAGCAACATTGCAATTGCAAGAGAAGTAGACCTTGTCACTGCTGTCTAACATTGAAAGGTTTTCTGTATAAAATAACGTACAGAAAACTGAGGCTTGAAAAGTGTAATCAATAATGTGATTTTTCTCCAGACATTGCCTTATAATTGAAATTGAATATTTGAGGAAGAGTGGGTTCCTCACGTATTACTAAGAAAAAGATGAGGCATGTATGACATGTTGTCAGTGTTGTTCTTCTGTAAATTTTAGATTTGAAAAGAGGATTTACAGAGCAATTATGAAACAACCAAAAGATACAGCTATTTAAAACAAACAAACATAAGAAAAACCAACCAGAAAAATGCAAGACACATTTTAGCACGGCAATTTAGGACAAATCTTTTCTGAGTCTTCTCTTTCTGTACATCCAACAGGCAAGTTTTTGTTCTCTAATAGCATAGATTTTGAATAAATTATGTGTGTGTCGACAATGCTGCTGTCTTTGGTCCCATGAATACATAATTTTAACACCCTTGAACTTGGACAGCGTTCTATCATAGGTAGCAAAAGCCTGTGTACTATTTACCATCGAACACAACCTGCCTGAGATGTGCAAAAACAGGGCTTTTGATGGTCCTTAACTCCCAGGAACACCAGTCAGACTGATGCCCATTGCTTGTTGTCCCTAACCAGGTAGGAGGCCTATCAGCACCACTGCAGATGTGAAAGCATAAAACGTGAACTGTTAAAGCCCATCAAGGGAAGAGCAGGGGGCAAGAGAAAGAGTTTTGCTGCTAACAACCCAGTTAGTTATGGATACATGACCATTCAGAAAACACCTTTGAAACACACGTTAGGCTCCCGAGAATGTAGGTTGCTGGCTGAATACAGGCCAGATGGCTTGAGGAATCACTCCTTTTCCATCCTTAAATTTTTACGCATCCTTGTATTGATAGATGATGAAGCCTTTTCTGGCTGTTGAATATAGTAAAGAGTGATCTGTTTGTTCTTTCCTCCTTTGCGCCACCATTCTCAGTTTAGGTAGACAGCCAGGGAGAGTATTACAATGCAGATCTGGAAGTCTTGCTCTGGTCTGCTTTCATACAGTGACATTTAAGTGAGAGATATTTTTATGAACAAGCTAGTTTAGTAAAGTTGTGTCAGCTAAATCAACATATGGTTTTAACAGTAGAGTCCTGTGGCTCCTATTTGAATAACTCCTATAAGGACCATACTGTGGTTTAGATTTTAATGATGTTTTGTACGAGTATAACAATAGCTGTCTGAAGCTATATGCACTTATTACTGTCACTTGGAACTGAACGGGGAGGTGGCAAAGGAGAAAGTGAGTACACATCCACAATGGTGACACACCCTTAACAAAAAATTATTTTCTAAGTGGTTGGTACAGCCTTGTTTAAATCTTACTCTGGTTTAACTCAGAAGCAAATGAATTTGGGGATCTGTGCCTTGATGCAGGCAACAGAGAAGGGTGAAAAAGAGGTGGCAAGCAGCTTACAGAAAATCCAGACAACATACTGATAATCTTTGTTTCCCTGGATTCTACCCACTAGAGGATAACTCACCCATTTGATTTATTGTCATGTTTAAACAACTGTCAGGGACTTCAGAGAGCTATGGTTTATATCAAAGCACGGTGAAATAAAATTAGCTTAATTGCTCAACTGAGGAATACAATACAACGAAATAACTAAGGGAGTCTTATAGGCTTACAGGTGAATTCAATATTGAGCTTACACAAAAATGGAAAATAAGTGGAAGGATGAGCTAATTCCATGTCAGAGCTGCAGCTGTTTGCTAGGCGAGCTTGGTGATTTAGTTCCCATGCAGGAATATATGCAGAACTCCAGCTCCCTGCCTTGCTTTATTCTGACCTAAAGATAGATCTGAAATCACTTGAAGTTTAAAAAAAAAGAAAAAAAAGTATTGGAAATCTACATTCATGACTACTCATTTATTTGCATTAGATGTTCCAGCCCATCTGTTCTGTTGTGCTCTGTATGTTCACTAGAGACCTAAAAACATACTAGATAAATGTATTAGGAAACCAATGATTACTGTAACCGAACAAAATGATGACTTTTTTCTTTACTGAATCCCTATCCAGAGATGCTTCTTACATCTTATGTTAAATAAGGTGATTTACATTCATTGCATGCACTGCATGCAGGCATTGGTTTGAATCCCAATTAAGGCCGACATTTAGGGACGTCTGTGTGGGTGTATGCTAAAATAAAACAATATTTGGGCCAAAAGTGAGATAATAGGAGATGCTGGTGACTCTTCTTACCTGTGAAAAGACGAGGGAACTCTTTAAGCTCAGAGCATGCCTTTTGTAACAGGATTAACACAGCTCTCCAAGGGGCTTTGTTTATTGACATGTTTATATGAGGAAAGCTGTAAAGTTACGAGTCTGATGACTGTGATGACGAGGAAGGACCACTTAATGTTCATACTGTACCCATCTAGTTACATGAATATATGGAATCAGTCACACTCGTACTAATTCGTATCTGCTACAAAAGATACATCAAATTTCATCAGCTAAGGCAATAGCTTTCATTTATAACTATTTCATAGAATTAATGGTTTTAGTAGGAAGAGGCCTTAAAGATCATCTGGTTCCAACCTCCCTGCCATGGGCAGGGACACCTTCCAACTAGACCAGGGTGCTCAAAGCCCAGTCCAACCTGGCCTTGAACACTTCCAGGGAGGGGGCATCCACAGCTTCTCTGGGCAACCTGTTCCAGTGCCTCACCACCCTCAGAGTAAAGAACCTCTTCCCTATATCTAATCTAAATCTGCCTTCTTTCAGTTTGAAGCCACTACCCCTGGTCCTATCACTACATGTCCTTGTAAAAGTTCCTCTCCAGCTTTCTTGTAGGGCCCTTCAGGTACTGGAAGGCTGCGATAAGGTCTCCCCGGAGCCTTGTATTCTCAAGGCTGAATCACATGTTATGTAAGCCTTGCCTACATTTGCAGTTGTCTATGATATCCTATGTATTCCTATAAAAAATGGAAGACATTTTAGCAAGGTTTGTAGTAGATGAGGTACTGCTGGGAGGGAAGAGGGGAAGGTGTTGGAGGTCTACAGGGAAACTGACTGAATGAAATACTACCATGGAGTAATGACAAGCTCAGGGTTTGTTTGTTTGCTTAAGTTTTGTCCTACCTAGAAATGTAGTTTAGTTTAGATTGTGTTGTGTTCATGCTGTATTTACAGGCAAAGAAAGGAAACTATGCTTTCCTGTGGGATGTGACGGTGGTGGAATATGCTGCGCTGACAGATGATGAATGCTCTGTGACAGTCATTGGAAACAGCATCAGCAGCAAAGGATATGGGATAGCACTCCAGCATGGAAGCCCCTACAGGGATCTCTTCTCCCAGAGGTAAACTGAAACAAAGCTTGTTTTATAGGATTCCTCTCTATAACCAGCAAGGCATCCCATTTGCGGTTCACACTAATTTTGGCAATTACTGAATAAAGGAGAGTAAGTGACGGCAGAGAGGTTATGAGTTCAGGCTTCAACAAAGCTGCTACTTCTGCTCCATGTGCATCTGCTTAGGGCAGAGCGTGGTGTGTGGCCTCACACCTCCAGGCAGCACTGCCTCTGGCAGAGGAAGGACTGATGTCCTCTGAGCTTTGTAGGAGCTAGGGGAGAGGTTGAAGAGACATCTTTGATTCATGCTACGTTTTGCAGACTATGAAGCAATGTGTTGCTCCCTACAGTAAGCAAGTAATAACGCCTGGGTTTATCCTTTAGGGTGGAAAGACAAGTCGAAGCCTCACAACGGTACAGGAAAACAAGAAAAGCTGAGTATCACATGGGATTGCCAAGACTATGAGACTTTAAGACTATGCTATTTAGTGATCTCTGAGCTATCAGCTAGGAATATCTTTTATTTTATGTGAATGTGTACACTGAACTGAAGATATGCAGTTGTGCAGGCATGTGTGGCCTTAGCAGAAGGTGAGCGGGTGCTCTGCTCCAGGCAGGGAGCTGAAGCAAGATTTCCTCATCTTGCTCCATCTTTATAAAAAGGGGTAAAACTCCAGCTGCGTAACCAGAGACAAAGCTGCCTCAAGAGAAGAGATTGTTAGTAAACAGCTAAAACAGTTATCAAACCAAATCCAAAATGAATCATTCATGGAGAGAAGGGACACTTCACAAGAGGCAAAACAATGATTAATTAGCAACTGTTAACACAGTAAGTCAGGCATGAAGTATCAGCATTGAAGTAAAATCCTTTTGAATAAACTACGTTTGCTGAAGCGAATGAGTTGGTTGCTGCTTAAACAGATTTGTATTAAGTAGTGCACAAATAGCAGTATGTTTAGCCTCATGTGATTTTCAAGTTATTGTGGCAGAGCAGCAGTGGAGTAGGTTGAGCATTTTGCTAGCGGGACCAGCTGTTGCAGCTGAATGTAGCCAGACCAGCCATGACTAACTGGAATATGATGCTTTCCCTTGGAAATGCTTCTTGCATTGCAATGGAATTTTTGACAGTCTCTTCTTTTTCTCAAGTTACCCAGAGGAGTTTACCTGCTGCTGTGAGTAGAAAGAAATCCTGGTTATAACAGTGTTTCAGATGAATAATACTACATGGCGCTGGCGGGATGGAGTTTTGAATTGTGGGACAGTAGACTTAAGAGTTATGTGACATATGGAAAAGACCAAAAAACTGAGAAATAGTGTTATTGAAAATAACACCTGTGTTTTGAAATTTCTGCAGGATCTTAGAGTTGCAAGAAAGCGGAGATTTGGATGTACTTAAGCAGAAATGGTGGCCGCGGATGGGACGTTGTGACCTGAATAGCCATACCAATGCACAGACAGATGGGAAGGCACTCAAGCTTCACAGTTTTGCAGGCGTTTTCTGCATTTTAGCAATAGGCCTTCTTCTTGCATGTTTGGTGGCAGCATTGGAGTTGTGGTGGAACAGCAACCGTTGTCATCAAGAAACACCGAAAGAGGTCCATAACTTTTATTCTTATCACAATTAAAAGTAGAAAAAAACAAAAGAGAACGAGTGCAAGTTGTGGGATTTTAGGTGCTCTCATACAATAAATTTGATTTATTTTGAATTGCCATACTAAGCTTTGCATATAACTTTTTGGGTGGTTGTTTCTAAAAACATAAAAAAGCCAGAACGTGTCTTTTGTGCACATGGAAGGTGCCAAACTGACAGCCCTGGAGGCTAAAGTCCTCTATTTATTTATAGAGCAGATACAGCATGGGCAGCAGCAGTGCAAACTTCCCCACATTGCCCCACCAATGTGCCTCAACCCTGACCTGGAGAGACCACCTTTAGGGGTAAGAGAGTAGTTCAGAAACATGCCCTCGGCCTCTTTGCTGTGAGTGACGGGGAGGCCAGTCACGGGCACCCAGTCGTGCCTACTGTGGTAATGTTTTCTCTGATCTGAGACCCCGTCCTTCGGCTGTGAGAAACAATGTCCACCCTACACAGGCTGTGCAGCTGGCAACTGCTTCCCTTCATGGCTGACCTAGGCTGAGTTTGAAGAGGTCCACGAGCAATTAAAAATAAACCAGCTAGTTAGTAACTGAATAAGCCACTTTGCCGTGACACTGTTTAAATGCTTCCTTTCTTTTGAAATGTTTTATTTCTAAAAGTAGGAGCCTCTGAGTAAACCGACCTTCATATGACATATTTTACCTAGGAAAATATATGAGAATTTCTTCATTTCAAAGTTTTCATGCACATCTGTGAGTAACAGTTAGCCACGCTATGATAGAATAATCAGTCCATACTCAGATTTGTCTTGCATGAAGCCTGTATTTGTTTACATAGATTAAATGTTTAACAAACTAACCTCTTGTAATTCTGGAGACACTGAGGCATTTGTAGGTGCTTTAATCACGGAACAGATGTTTGTTACAAGCAAATAATGGCAGCGAGCTGCACTACAGCTGGAAAACAGTACATAGCCTATCAGTTCCAATCTATGTTTCTCAGGTTGCCAGGAGTACTACACTAATTGACGTACCTATCACCTGTAAGCAATTCTGGCAAATGGAATCTGAAGATATATGTTGCAGTCTGTAATGCTGAGAAATATTTATCAGTAAGATTCCATTCTTCTGAGTTCCTGCTTCTCCCATTTGAACTCATCCATCAAGTGCTCAGTGATAAACATCTGTACCATGTTTGTGGGACAAAGCTGCAGAGTCACTTGCCTGTGGCTCCAGAACGTGCAATAGCAAAAGGGAAATTTTGGTAAAAGGAAGCATATCTCTGCTTTGCACACGGCAACACTCATAAAGCAGGCAGAGGGAGAGCACGAATAGGTACTCTTGCTTATAAAGAAGCTTACGTATGAACAGAAGCACATATTGTTCTTTGGTTAAATACTGCAGCATTTTGCCCCACTGCCTCGTAGAAGTCAATCCTGCTGCAAAGCAACCGCAAAGGCCGCACCCCATGTTCGCACTGTGACGGCCTAAGCCCCAGCAGCAGCCAGCTCCCTGCTTGCTGCGGACGCCTGTCAGGGCAGGGGCCAGGGACGCTGTCCGAAGCGTCCTCATGCTGCCCGTGCCCAAGCATTTGTCTTGCCATGCTCTGCAGCGTACTCCCCTCCCCACCCTCAGGGACTCGCCTTTCTGCAGCTCTGTCGAGAGAGACGAGAATGTGCCCCAAAGGCAGTTTTGTGTAGGTAAGGTGAAACAATTCACTCTCATTGCAAGTGGTTTTAAATACTCAGTTTCCACCTCTGAAAAAGGATCTGTCTTCATGACTTTAAATAATTTCTTCTTCCGCATCCCCTTCATTTCTCTTCTTGTATCTGTAAGGAGGATTACGACAGATCTCTGCCTGCCCCAGCCCATCCTTTGTCCCCTTCCCATCCCTCTCTGCCTCCTCCCCTTTCCTTCCAGCGCGCTCTCGATTTGGGTTTCTCTGTATGTCCTCTTTTGCAGCTTCCGTGACAAAAAACAGAGTACGTTTAAGCTTCCATTTTTTAAAGTATACTGAAGTTACCCTTACGGTAAAGCTGTATGTGGGAAGATCACCCATGTGCGGGGCTGGGTCTGTCCTTGGGGCGCAGCCAGTCTGGGTTCAGGGAGGCAAATGAAGCTCAGGCACAGCACACGCGAACAGGCTCAGAAGGGCGCAGTGATGTGGGCACTGCCGAGAGGGAGCAGAGTTGGTGGGAGCCCTGGTACAAGCAGGTGTTGAGGCTGAACGAGAAAGTGCGTGTTCCCGAGGAGAGGGCAGGCGGATGAGGGCTCACAGGCCACACCGGCCGGGAGCAAAGCAAAAAGGAGGGCACAGGCGGGGTGGAGTGTTGTGAGGGGTGCCTGAAAAGGACAGCTGGGTGCAGAGACAGGCAGGCGGCTAGAAGCGCTTCCTGCTCATGGCAAAGGGAAGGGTGACTGGTGCCCAGCACCATGGGCGGGAAGGGCCTCCAGGGATCCTTGGCCAGACCGTGGCACAGCCGCGTTGCTGGGACAATCTCCACTTTATTCCCACAGATCGGGCCATGTAACACCGCAACCGTAACGCAAGCTCTGAGCCCATGCAGTGGGCGGGCCCACAGGCCATGCGCCTCACGCTGGTTGGCCCAGGTGGCCGGGACCCCTGTCAATCAGAAGCGAGTACGTGACTGACTGGGCTGTGTGTAATGGCAGGGGCTGAGGGCTGAGTCGCAACATCAACTCACCTAAATCAGCAGACGAATGTAGCAGCTAACTCTTCATAGATTAGCGGGCAGAGATACTGTATTTATGTACAACTAGTGAGGAGGGAGAGAAGCGGGATTGCTGATGGCTACTGTAATTAAGATGGGAAAACAAGTTTCAGAAGAGATGGCGTAGATGGGTTGAAGATTTTCAACGTGTTTGGGAGAACCGAGTTTCAAAACTTTGCTAAGGTCAGGATCCAATGATGAGGAGAGCGTGGAGTCCTGGAGAGCCCTCTGCTTGAGTCGGGAAGAGTGGCTGAGCATTGCGTAAGGGACCAAAGGCAAGAAGAGGGTTTGGTCTCCAGAAGGAGCGTGTTCGGGGTCGCTCATTCCTGTCACTGTGTTATCCAGCATTTCTACAGCAACAGCCACAATAACAGAGCTACAGCATGCGTAGCGTATACAGAGCGTTCTAGTCTGCCTCTCAGCTGCATATGATACTACAGCCAAGTCGTGATTTCAGTAGAACCTGCAAACTTAAGTCATGCTGCTGATTTTCTTCTTCTTTTGGGAAGGCTTTGGCAAAACACGGGTGTTGTGATATCACCTGAAAATTGTGGGAACTGGATTGTCTCCCAGCAGTTTTCTTCTGTGAAGTGCAGAGCCTGTGGAAGGTCACAGAAGTGACTGGTTTTCTTGCAGCCTAAGATTAGACTTTGGTGTCACCTCATGCAGAAGTCACCTCATGAGGCGAAGGGCAAGAAGGCAGCATTTGGCTTCTGTGACCTTTCTCTTGTTATGAGCTTTATAAATCCATTGTAGAAAATTACAGTGGATTCAGGATTGAATGATGAGCTGTCATAACCTGCGGGACCCTTGTGTAACGTTCTCGCTCTGGCTTGACCCACTTGGTAGGCTGTATCACGACAACAAATGCTGACTTGGAAATCAGATGTTGGGAAGATGGATGCACGATTGCTACGGCAGATTTATGACAGGGTTGGGCAGCCATGCAGCTTGCTGGAGGTGAAAAGGGGTGTTTTAGAGACAATCATTTTGTATGTCGAGGGTCTATGAAGCCTGTGGCTGGAAGAATGTGCACAGCCTTCATTGGCTCTGGAGAAAGGTTTTCAGCTGATGATAAGGTGTTGATATTTGCCAGCTAGTTGTCTTTTCCTCTTTTACTTTGTGTTCCTTTGATTTTGGTGGAGGTTAGCCTGAGCCAATACATTGAGGTGTTCAAGGACTCAGATGTGTATGAGATATAAATTGCAACTCTTAATTACAATGAGTGTAAAAAATGTAGTGTTAACTATGTAACTAGGAGGAACAGGAAGCCTATCTTTTGAAACCTGACAGCATAACTTTTACTTTGACATGAATCTGATCTACGTTTGTTGACACTTTATAGGAAGAGTTACACCAGATGAAAACTACTTCCAGTTGGAATATTTTTTTACATCGTTTGCATAGGAATTAAATGTGCCCCATCCAATTGAAAAAAATACTATTTTTTCTACCCATTAAGTCAGTTCATTAAGGTAAACCTCCAGGAAAGGTGGACTTCCTTTACTTTCCCAGAATTGCAGTTGCCATTGGTTCACAATTCTATTGTGCAAGGAATAATGAAATTTCTTGCTAGAAAAGTGAAAGCTGGGTTGATTTTCAGGACGTTGATACAAGATATTTTTATTCTATTTGAAGCAGATTTATGAAAATGTTTCTAATGAATTCTGCTGTAAAAATCTTAATGTTACCCCTTTTAATTCTTTATTTAATCTTTATCACATCAGATTAACAAAAGAAAGATTAGCTCCAACATCAGGAAGAAAAGTATAGCTTCAATACCATGCCGCACTCTTCTATTAGGGCTCAAGTTTGTGATCTTTAAGTTGGAAAGATGTCTAGTAATGTTTAAATGCCCTTGCTGTTTTCTAATTCAGGAAAATTTACATTTTGTCATCTTTTTCAAACCAGATTTTCTACAATTTATAGTCACCCTCTCCTAATTATTGTTCATACTCAGCCATTCTATACCACACTGAAATTTAGCCAGCTCATAACATCTACCTCTGTGTGTTAAAATCTTGAATTTACATAGCTGCTATTCAGCCTGCGATACTGATATCTAATCTTTTGCTTTGATAAGCTTCAGAAATTTGGACAGTTGTAAATTAAAAATGAAAATTAATATTTATTCTGGGATCTCTGTTCAGTCACTCTATGTCCCTTTTGAATAACTGAGCAATCAGATAATGTTATTGAAACCTGGTACCATAGAAATGTTGAGCTTTCAATAATTATCTCTGGATTTCTATATCTTTTGATGAGTCATA